TATACCGTACCGATAATAATAATAAAGTTAGTAGTAGTAGTAGTAGTAGTAGTCTATATGATGACGATGATAACGAACAACAGTTATTGAATGAATTAAGTGGTGAATTTAATAAATTGATTTACGAAAGAGCCAGAGAATCATTGAAAATGTCAATGTATTTAGAAGATTTTATTGAATATTTAAAGATGCTTTTTTCAATTGATGAAAAAACAAAATCAAAAGTAAAAAATCAAAATCATTTTTGTAGTATTGATGATTTATTACAAACATTAACATTGTTAGAAGATATGGCAAAAAATAGAGAAAGAGATTTAGATAAATTGGAGACAAATTTTACCGATTTTATAAATTCTTTATCTTCTACTAGTAGTCGTGGTAGCTTTACTATAAATATTAAGCAAACATTTAAAGATATTGATGGCGATGATGTTAATGACAATAACAATAGTCATAATGAATATGGTAATGACAGTGATGACGAGAATGATGATTTTCTAGTACAAGAACAACATGATCGAAATCATTTAGAATATCAAACTGAAATTTTTCAAAAAGTATTCAACTCATCACTGGATTTTATCGTAATTCCATTCTTTATTTTTCTTTCAACGTATTTGACAATTTCCAGTATCACAACGGCCATCAATAACAGTAATAACGATAATAATCGTGGCAATACCAGTAGTGATAGTAGTAGTAGTAATAATACCAATATTATTGATGTTACTAATAATTTTACCAATCTCATTAATAACATTACTACTTCTGACAATAATAATAATATCAATTCTAACTCCAATTTTAATAACAATGATTTGGATTTTTATTTGGCATTGATGACAGTTCTTGGATATTTTATTTATTATTTTACAAAGAAATATAATCAATTGAAACATGAAAGATTGATAACAAATAAAATAAAGAAATACAAAAAAGTAATTTCGATAAAATTACCGGTAATTTTATTGAATTTGAAAATATCAAAACAATTTTGGAAAATACAATCAAGCATTCTTCAATCACACATTTATATATTGAAACCATTGGTGGTGGATGATAATAATGACGACAATAATGGTATAGAAAAGAAGAAAAAGATACTTAAATTATCAAATGATTTTGTAGTTGATGGGATTATAGAGAAATGGGCAGAAGAACAAAAATCTTGCAAAGAATGTTGTCAGATACTGAATGATAGTGTCGCTAGAAATATTTTACTTGTTTTGTAAACAATAATGATGATTATTAAAGAGCCATATTATAGAATTTATAGAAGAAAACATTATATAGGTATATATATATATGTATGTATGTATGTATGTATGTATGGGGGTCTTTCAATAGAAACGCGAGAGTAATTCTGGAAATAATGATTTTTTTATATTTCAAGGGATTTGCTATTGGTTTAAACTTGATGAAAAATATTGCTATGCAAAACGGGCAAACCAAAAATGTTCTATGTAAAGAATTATATAGGGGCGACATTAACTCAAAAATTGCGAGTTTCACGTGTTTCTATTGAAAAGCTCCCATATTTTGGGTTTTTTATTAGAATTTATTAGAATTTATTATTTACATTTTTTGATTATTAAATTGCAAATAGTTATTTATATATATATATATATATACGTGTGTGTATATGTGTATTTATCTATCCAGCAATACCATATTATTAAAAAAAACATTAAAGCAAAAGAAATATTATATATCTTGTTTTAACTAAATCAACTTTATATTATTTCTTTCCCTATCACCTTTTCTCCTCGTGAATATATCTCATAAGTCGAATTTATTATTATTTATTGCTAGGAGTTTTACCATCAGTAGTGGCTTTAATAATGGAAGCGCTATTATAAGTAGCAGCAGCAGGAGTAACGGTAGTGATGGGAGTGACTGGAATAATTGGAGTAATATTGGTTGATGAAGCAGTGACATTATAATCAACATCACCTCCTCCAGCAGCACCAGAACCAGAACCACCAGCACTACTACTAGTAGTAGTACCAAGTGTTGGATCAAAAGCAGAACTTTTCCATGTCATTTTTTGTTTTAATTTATCTTTTGATTGATCATTACCAATATCTTTAGTAGTAGAATGACATCGATAGTTTTGCATTACTTGTGTTTGAACAATTATCATTTGTTCTTCAAATCTTTCAACTAGTTGATGTGCTTGTTTGATGATCAAATCTTCTAGATTCTTTTTAAATTTCTTTTCAATTGATGGTAAAAAGATTTTGTATAATAAACTAATATATATATATATATATATTGGAAAAAAAAATTTTTAGAAATTTTTAAAAATTCAAAAGAAATGTTAAATAATAATATTTTTTTACTTGTGTTTAGTGTGATGAAATCTTAATTTGAATTCAGAAATACGAATATCATTTCGTTCAAGTTTGATAGAAATTGGTTTACTACCATCAGTAGGTAGAGTTAATATTGCTCTAAAATTAAGTTCTATGCCACCATCTTGTGGAATTGAGAAATCCAAATATCCAACCTATATTATATATATATATATATCGTAGGGTTGGAGGCGCGCTTATATTTTCTGATGAATAATAATAATAATAATAATAAAATTAAACTTACATCCTCAAATCTAAAGAATCCTTTTTTCTTTTTATAATGAAAAACAATATCATGAGCATCGACATGAAATTTAGAACTGTTGTAATTATGAATTATGATTTTAAAAGTTGTTTTTTAAATGAATTGAATTGTCAAGAAAAAAAACCCTATTATTATTATTATTACTTACATTTCAATCGAGATTAAATTACGAACCCTGTTCTCTTCTGGTCGATTTAAACCTATTTCAGCATTTAATCCAATATTAATATGTTTTGGAAAAAGTTCATGTTGCACATGAAGTACGATATTATCAGCATTAAACTCTATATTTTCATCAGAACTATATATAAAAGAAATCAAAATATATTTATTCTCAATCGCAAAACAAAACAAACAAAAAATCACTAACTTACTATTCATATTCTGGTAAAGGAATGTATTCAAGTCTCTTAGCAAGACGAGGTAAAATAATCGAAAAATCTTTGACCAATTGAAATTTGAAGGTAAATTGACCAATTTCATTCAAGAATAAATCTTCAATTAAAATATCAACATCTCTTTTTAATTCCATTGTAGCTTTATCTTCCATCATCGCTTTATTAAATTCCTGGACTTCACCAACAATCGTTTGAGTTAATTCACAGTAATGACCCAATAAAAGTTTTCTTCCTTTATTAATCACACCAGATCCTTGTTGAATGTAATCTGTTTTCTTAACAAATTCCGGTTCAAGTAACGAGGAAAGAATAAAATGCTCAAGATCTTTAAGAAATTCACGTAAATCTTCATCATGTTTAATTTTTTGTCCAAAATCATTTAATGTTGAAATTAATGGATATAACGATCGATTGTCAGCAAAACTTTCTACATCTTTTGTATTTTGTTCAACGGCTGATGACGACATTGATGGTGTTGATCCTCGTTTTTGCTGGTCATTGGTACTGCTAGAGCCAACAACAACAATATGTTGAGTGATGTGAGTGGCAAATTCGCTCGATTTTTCGGTAATTTGAGGAATTACGTTTATTAGATCTTTGATCGCTTGTTGATACTTGGGTTTCTTTTGTATCTCAATAATCACATTTTTGAAACGAGTGACTAATCGTTCGCATGCCTCTGGTGAAAGTTGATAACTGGAAATAATATCAGAGGTTATTTCTTTACTATCTTCTTTAATATGATGTTCGGTTAATTCTGTCGTTGATTTTGCAGCAGTAGATACTTTTTCCTGTGCTTTTTGACTAGTTTTACTAACAGCTTCACCGATCCCTTTCTCTTTATTCTCTTTATCCTTTTTAGTTTCAGCAACTATTCCTTTTTTATCCTCCGGTCCTTTCTCTTTATCCTTTTCACCATCTTTAATTTCAGCAACTATTTCTTTTTTATCTTTTGTTTCTGGCGTAGGTATTTCTGATGATGATGGTTCATGTTTTGCGATTATATCTTGAGCAATTGTACCAATATCGTTAATCAATTTACGAAATTCAGAATTTGTAACTATTAACTGTGAGATATTCAATATGTTTTTTATTCCTTCCTCAACTAATGATCTGTTGGTGATTTCAGTCACGATTATTTCCTGATCAATTCCTTCACGAGATGATGGTAATTTAGTAGCTATTTTTTAATTAATGATTAGAAGGGAAAAAAAAGACGTGTTATATTTAATTGACGTGTAAAGAAATAATTTTTGAACATATATAAATATATATTATTAATATTCGATATCTTTAACGATCCGAGTACCATAATAAACAACAACATTTTGTAATTCATTTTTTTCCTCAAAGAATCTTTTCAAAGAATCTAACAAATTTTCCAAATCTGCTAAAACTTTTTTACCCAACACAGAGATACCATGAGTTGCATCGTATAATAATTCTGATTGATGAATTTCATCAATCTCTTCGGATATTTGTGAAGTAGTTGGTAATTTTCCTTTACTATTAATTATTACATGTAAAATAAAATAATTAATCGCAAGTTTCACAAAGTTTATAAAGTAGTTTATTGAATGTTTATATATATATATATATCTAATGTATCTCTTTGTACCCAAGTGCTTCGGTAACTTCTACAATCTTATTTTTGTATTGTAAAACCTCACGTTCTCGTATTGCACGTTCTGAATCATGTTTGGGTGGTAATTTACTGTTACTCTTTGAAGTAAACATTTATAGTAATTAATCGAAGATATAAAAAAAAAGGTTGGGAATTTAGAAAATTTTTTATAAATGTCTACGTTTTACATATATTATTAATGAGATTACATAATATAAATTACAAATTTTTCTTAAAAACTAATCCTCATTTGAAATTTTTTTCACCCTGCTATATCTTCCAAACTTAAACCTTTAGTTTCAGGTATTAAGAATGTAGCTGATAATCCAATAAACATCAATAATTAAAATAATTTAATAAATGCGGAACAAATGCGTTCTTATGACCACCAACATCTTTCAATCGTAAGAATCCAACTCGCCAAGTTTTTCTGATGCTGCTGAAATCCCAAAAGCTGTCGATCTAATGTATTTGATCCAAAATTTTTGGAAGAACTATTTGAGAGAAAAAATTAATTGTTTGAAAAAAAAAAAATTATAAAGTAATAACATACTATAACATGCACGTGCCTACCTTAAATAATATAATGTATAAACTAGAGATTTATCAAGTATTAATAACCGAATCCAAGTGTGACAAAAGGTACGGTTAACATAGTGAAACCCATCACTGTGAAAACGGTAAACAATAACCAGGTACAGTACCCAATAAAGCTATCGTAATGTTTCCAATAGCAATATTATTGGTGGATATCCTATAGCATCCAATATGATTGCATTATTCAAACCAGTACCACAAAATGCCACGTCCAATGCAAACAAAGACAATGACGTTCCAATAAAACTTTACATTTTTCCATTTACCAAAATGTTCTATAAATTCATTCCAAGTGAAAGATTTTGATTTGTGTTTGTCAAGTTCGGTTTAAATTAAGTTTATTATCTTTTGATCCAACTACAGTTGTTGTCATATCAGATGGTGGCAATAATTATCGATTTCATACATCTGATTGATTAACAATTTATTTAACGATCACCAATAAATGTACATGAATAGAATTTTATATAATAGTAATTCGCGTTTTTACGACCAACAAACCAAATAACAATTGACCAGCCAAAGTACCAATTGCAGTACTAACTTTTAACACGTATCAACAGAGACAAGAAAAGTGTTGATCCATAATAAACATATGCCAACATCACGGCGATTATGTTTATTGCAAATAAAATCATAAGCATCAGGGAAAAATCCGACACCTGAAACTACACAGACTCTAACATGAAACCATCCGAATTTGGAATGGAGGACATATTTTGTTGTTATTTGATCGGTTGGGATTTTGTTTGATTTAAATTTTATTCATTATAAGGTCGTCTATCTGGTTTATTTATACTTTTAAAAAAAATGCCAAGAAAACATTCGCACGTCAAATTTGATATCGAACGGAAAATTATATGGATTTAGATGTTTGATTTTGATCGTAGAAATGATTTGGAAAATCAGTGCGGTGGTGCAATACATACAAGCATTGTAAAGGTAATTTATAGTTGTACAAAACTCGAATAATCTGACCAATCAATGAATAAAACAAATTTTAACCAACGTTTTGTCTACTGGTTTTAAGAATATGCATCAGCGAATCAAGAATTATGTAAATAGTAACACTGTTATAAAAAATCAAGTATATGTTGGTTTGGAAAATCTGTACTAGTTACACACCGACTGGCTAGGGCCGCTTTAAAATACTTGATAATAATAGTAAATAAATGATCGACATGCCAATTTTACCTGTTTCCTGTGTAACAAATATTTGAATTTGAAATTTGAAAAATCTTATTCCTTACTAGGCAATGTCGAATATTCCAAACATAAAATTCAGTACGGGAATATGGGAACGTAACGTCATACATTATAATTTTATGCAGATAGTTTCTAAATTTATAGAAATCTGCATTCGTCACACACCGAAATTTGTACACTAGAGGTTTTTTTTCTACCAATCAAAATAAATAAATTGACCATGAGACTTGCGTGTTTTCTGTTATCAATCTTTGGGAATGCAATATATGATGCCATCTAAAAATTTTAATGAACAAATTAAAAAAATTTTGTTTATGTAGAAAGTAAAGAGGATCCCCATTTATTTTATTGATGTTGATTTCTATTTCCATGTATTTATTAACTCTGCTAGGAATACCAGCTTGGGGAAAAGTGTATAAATACGATTGAATTTTCGCCTGTGGAAAATTCAGGGTAGGCTATTAATAACTCATACTAAGAGTTATTTTGAGAGTAAAAGGGATTTCCGGATTATACACATCTCTCTATATATAATCCGGGGTTCTTGGTAGATTGCATGATTTAATATCGGATATATACGGAAACACATTATAAATTATTTTAAATTATTAATTATTATGCATGAAACACTCGTAAAATTAATCTAACCTTATGCCGTTGTATTATTATCAATTGCATAATCAGTATTGTTCTGATCAAATTCTTTTATCCATCGTGTGAATTTAAAATTGGCCAATTGAAAGGAATTTTCCACACATATTTGATTGGTCAAGTCAAAAAATTATGATAGAATGGAACATTTAACCATTGTTAAAAAAATTTTTTTTTTCGCAAATGTATACTGGATCGTTTCCTTGATTTTTTTAAGGTTCTTTTTATTTATGTATACAGAAAGAGCTATGGGCCTTTTTTAATCGTAAAATTATTATTATTTGTTATAGCTTAAAAAACACTAAAGCCAAATTGAAAAGGTATATATATTCATTTAATTTATTTATAAATGTTTCGATTTCGATTTTAATTACTAGTGTATGAAAACTACCCAACAAAAAATCACTGAAATGTGATATTTATCCAATAAAAACTGCAAGATCACGTGTAACCAAGAAAAAAAACCGAAAAAAAAAGGTTTAACTATGACAAACTACTGATTAAAATGCCCAACGTGAAATTTAGGTATAGGGTGTCATTTTTTGAGTTGACAGGTATCCCAATGCAAAAAAAACACGTGTTCGCGCTTTTTTTCTGGTGAAGAATGAAAAAATACGTTTACCAAAATGGGATTGTCTTTTTAAGGACATAAATAAATAAACAAATGCAAAAAATTCCTGTTATTAAATAATAATAAATACATTGTTGAGTCAAAGGATCGGTGCAAATTTTATTAATAATAGGTAATTAGGAAAAAAAAAATTAAAATTGATTAACCAATCAATATTTATATCTTAATCTAATATTTATTTTATTATTAAGGTTTTATCAAAGAATGTAATACTACTATTTTAATAATTAATCTCCCTTAACTAAATTACTATGTAATTATGGACAGCTGAAAAGGTAGTATATACAAAATGTTTTTTTTTAAGCAATAAAATTATACTGTCACTTTCCTTTTTAGTATTACAATTTAAAAATTGTAGGAAGCTTCGACATTTTTAGTTATCAGACCAATGGTTGATCGATCATCCATATGTAAAATAGAAATCCGATCCATGTAGCCAGTCTTTTTTTAAAACATCTTTTCTAATGAATCCTCTCCTATATTGAATAGAGACTCTCTATGTAAAGCTATAGTTATTCAAAATCTTATCAATCAATACACAAATGAGAAAAAATCTGGGCAGGACTAATTTCCAAATGTAGTAATTTGGTTGATAAACTTTGACACCAAGATTTTCTTACTTGAAAACAAAGGATTTGTGACTAATTTTTTACAAAATTTCGACGTCCCAAGAAAATGAAATGGTTTACATTGTGTAGATCAAGATTTCATAAGCCCGCCCACACCATCTTTAACAAAAAAGGATTTTTGAATTTGAGACATATTAGTATAAAAAAAGAAATGAAATTAATTTACTAATACTTGTAAAAAAACGGGGTATTGAAATTTATTTGTATTGCAATAGAAATTACTTAAAGAATATTTATTCGTTAAATTGTATGAATTATCTAAAATAAGAATTCTAAATTTTTTCCGAAAAAACGTTACTACTATTATTATTATTAATGAACACATATTGTGGAAATAATATAAAATTTATAAAATGTGTGCATCCAAATATTTTTAAACCGTCGATAGAACCGGTGTATGTTTACTTTTAATTTTTAATTCAAAGATTTAGAATTTGAAATTGGTTCGATTTAGGTTTTTTATTTGTCGCACAAACTAACTTGAATCATGATAATATTAATAATATTTCATATAAAAGTGCCATGAATTTTCTCGTTTTTCTATTACCGATAAAAAAATAAAAATAAAAATAAAAAAAAAACCTTTGGTTTTTAGCAATTAAATTTTTCCTACGAACACCTTTCACAATCTTCTTTTTTTTAACGAGTCAAAAACTTCTTTAATAAAAAAAAAAAAACTCTCCGAAATGGAACCAGGATCTTACGTGTATTTATTAGTCGTAGGCTCCATAATTGCTTTTGCCGATGGTTATGGTATAGGAGCCAACGATGTAGCAAATTCATTTTCCACATCCGTCGGTTCTAGATCTTTAACGTTAAAGCAAGCATGTGGTATTGCAGTTTTCACTGAATTTTTAGGAGCATTTCTTCTTGGTATGTTGAGAACTTTTGCTCGTCACAAATTATTCGTTTAAACGTATTGATATGGAATTCGAAATTTACATTAAAAATCATTTTTTATATAGGTGCAAACACAGCCGAAACTATTCGTGGCAAAATTATAAATGTAAACTTATTTGTTGATAAACCTGAAGTTCTTATGGTAAAAATCAAAAACAAAAATATACAAATCGTTTTATCATTTTAAAATTACGTTTTTATATTTATTTTATATATTTATATATTTTCATAATAGCTTGCAATGGTATGCGCTTTAATAGGATCATCCAGTTGGATTATTTTTGCTTCAAGTAAAGGTTGGCCAGTTTCAACCACTCATTCAATTGGTTAGTATTAATCATAATCATAATCATCATTGTTGTTATTTATTATTTAATTATATCAAATGTTAATCACGTAACATTTAAATATTATATATTAATAGTTGGTGCTATTATTGGTGTTGGTGTTAGCGCTTTTGGTACTCAAGCAATAGATTGGGGTTATAATGGTGTTGGAAAGATCGTTGCCTCATGGTTTATATCACCTGTTGTGGCTGGTGTCGTAGCCAGTTTGATTTTCATTTCTACAAAATATGCCGTACTTAGGAGCACGAATTCATTCAATCGTGGTATCATTGCTGTACCAATCTATTTTGGAATAACTATTGCCGTAAATGTATCATTCTTTATCTATAAGGGTGCTCCTGCTTTTAAACTTGACAAAACTCCACCAGGTAAATATTAATATTACAATATAATTATTAAATATATATATACACATTTTAGATTTTTAATTAATTATTAATAATATGTATCATCATTATATATATATAGTTATTATTGCACCTGTAACAATTGGTGTCACATTAATCGTTTCAGCATTTTCATACTTTTTCTATGCCGAATGGCTCAGACGTAAGATTATTGGTAAAGAGACCGGACTTCGTTGGTATCATATTCCAATAGTACCATGCATTAAAAAAGGTGGATATATTGATCAAACTTCCACTGAAAGTGGAGCCACATCAGCCGAAAAAACTAATAATGAAGAAATCTCAGAAAATCCTGATGGCAAAGATGGTGGAGATAAAATAGAAGAAGATAAGGAGGTTAACTGGGTACAAAAATCATGGGTAAAAATATTGGCAGTAGCTGGCCATGGTCTCAACAAAGAAATTGCAGATTATAATCATGATAAAAATGAAGCTATGCACGCTGTTGCCGTCAAATATGATGATGACACTGAAACTTTATATTCATTTTTACAAATCTTAACTGCGTCATTTGCCTCATTTTCTCATGGTTCAAATGACGTAGCAAACGCAGTTGGTCCATTAGCCACAATCTATCTCATCTACACCTCAGGAGCAGTCGATCCAACTGGAGTAACTCCAGTGCCAATTTGGATTTTAGCATTAGGTGGTATAGCTATAGACATTGGTCTCATTACTTATGGTTATCATGTGATGAGGTCACTTGGTAACGAAATTACATATCATTCCCCGTCTCGTGGTTTCTCCATGGAATTGGGTACCTCTCTCACCGTATTAACAGCATCGAAACTTGGTTTACCGGTTTCAACAACGCATTGTATTACTGGTGCAACAGCAGGTGTCGGTCTTTGTAATGGTAATGTCAAAGCTTTGAACTGGAAATTATTAGCTTGGTGCTTTTTTTCATGGGTACTCACTCTTCCAATAGCAGGATGTACCGCAGGACTTATTTTTGCTTTTGTAGCAAACGCACCAAAAATAGGTTTAGCTGCTACAACTTAAATTATATAATTATTTTTATTTAACTATTTAATTTTAAAAAAAATTTATACATGCATAATTTAATCATTTTTTATAAATTCATTCACACTTTTTTATAATAAAATATAACAACATTAGCAATAATGATGATATAAAACAATGATGTAAAAAAACATTTGAACAAGTAATTTATTTAATAGTGACTTCTTGATAAGATAAGTTTGTAATTATAAATAAAATAAAACTTTTATGAAAAATTACTTTTTAATTATTTAAATCTCGCTTTTTTAATGTTTACAAATATATAAACTTGCACTGTTCTGTTGAATCTAAATGTTACAATCTCATCATCAATATTATCCCGATCATTATTTTCTTTTACCTTGTCATTGGAATTATGGTGATGTTTTACCATGCTATGCATTTGATTTTAAATTTATGTATGAATTTTTCTACCAAAGAAGACCAAATATTCTTTCTAAAGTAAAATAGATTAAAGTTAGGCCAAGTTGAGTTGCCAAGGTTGGTTGAATCCTGCTTTAAACTAGCAGGTCTAACCGGGTTATTTTGTTAAAGATAGTTCATAATGATTGAGAATTGCAATAATAATTAATAATAATAATAATAATAATAATAATAATAATAAATAATTTGCGCGAATTATTCCAACTAAAAAAAATCAAATTAGTCTTATTCTTCTGTTCGGTAACTACAAAACAATCCAAACCATATCATTGAATTACGGTTGGTACATCAAAAGGAAAAGATTCCTGCCTTTAACCAAACATAATCACTTGGAAGTTGAATTACCCTCATTGTAGAGAGCCCGATCACAATGATATATTAACACTTGATTGAAAATAAAAATAATAAAGTAGCATTTAGTTAGTTTACTTATTTTAAAGACTGGGTGCATTTTTCACGTCATTTACTGTTTTAAGTAATATGTCATATCAAGGCAATAATAATTGTTAAAATTTTTAAGTTTCAATTTTAACAATACGTATTTGATACACACATTTCATAAACATACATAATTGATGGATTTTAATTCTTTGTTAGAATCATTTGGTTTTCCCGTTAAGAAAGAAAAAAAAGGAGGTGGAAGAGAGAAAGAGGAAGAAGAGGAGGAAGAAGAGGAAAAATTTTATGAAGATTTATATAAAGTATTGGGATGTTTTGAATCAAGTACTGTAAGTATTATTCGATTATTATTCTTTACTATTATTATTTGTTAAAAAAGATTTTTTTTTTTAAACAAAGTCAGAACAAATTTCGGCAGAATATAAAGTACGTGTATTACAATGCCATCCTGATAAAATAAAGAATGAAGAAGATAAAAAAATTGGTGATTTTAAGAAGAGTTTATATTTAACCGATCAATCAAAAAAAATTTTAAAATTATTTTTTAATTAAATTTCTTTTTGTAGCTGAAAATCAATTCAATAGATTAACAACAGCTTACAAAATATTAATTGATAAAGACGAAAGATTGAATTATGATAAATGGAAAAGAGGATCACTAAAAATTTCATACAAGCTATGGAAAGAATTAATCGTCGAGAAAGGACATGTATACACACACATACATATGTTGATTGATTTGATGTATTATATTCTATTTTATATTATTAATATAATCATTATGTTTTTAGGCAGTTCACTGGAGACCTTCACCAAATCCACAACTTACCATCAAGAATCATTCAAATGATAATGACAACAATAATAAAGATGGTAATAACATTGTTAGCGAAAGAAGTTATCAATGTAATAATAAAAAAAGTAAACAAGACGAATTATACGAAAAATTTAGAAATTATGAAATTTAAAATGATTTTTTTTTTTAATGTTACTAAACGAATGGTTTTTTTTTTAAATAAATATAAACATGAAAATAAATCCACAAGGAAAATCCAATCCACCCAGTCTAATAAGTAATATATTGCGAGTCTAATAAATAAGCAATAAATAAATATGTAATGAATGATATGTGTGTGTGTGTGAGTGTATAACATGAATGAAAAGCGATGATAAATAATAAACAACAAATAATAATTAATAATTGATAAATAACAAATAACAAATAACAAATAACAAATAATAAATAACAAATAATAAATAACAAATGATAATATTTTTTAATAAAAACCATCAAATAGAAAGATTCCAAAGTAATAAAGCATCATCTCCTTCATCTTTGCAGTAATTTAAAATATTTTTTGTGTCAATTTCTTCATTTGAATTTTTGTTACAATTATGATTATGATTATGATTATGATTATGATTATGATTATGATGGTGGTGGTGATGATGGTGGTGGTGATGGCGGTGATGATGGTGGTGGTGGTGTTTTCTTCTGTGATGATTTTTCTTGTGGTAATGTTGATATAAATAGTCAGGGTTATGATGATTATTTGGTATTGGAATTACTTTTATGGCTGTGTGACGATGAATATTGTTTATGGGATTTGGTAAAGGAACAATATTCGATGTATTATTATTATTGTTGTTGTTGTTGTTGTTAATAGTATTGTTGTTATCATTATTGGTAGTATTATCATCATTATTATTGTTACTACTATAATTGTTAATATTACTGTTATCCCATATAATTAGACGTCTTGAGTAAGGTAATGATTTGGTTTTTCTTATCATAGATGGTAAATATTTTGAATTTGGATTATTTGTAGGCGTTAATATTGAGACAGCTGTTGAATAATGTGATGAAGTGGAACGATATGATGTCGGTGATGTAGATGTAGATGTGGCAGACGTGGTGGTGTTATTATTATTAGGAAAAATTGAATTAGCTGGATTAGTTGAATTGAATTTGTTGATTGTAGATTTAATTAATATAGAAGTAAACTCGTTGGTATGTTTTGCATTTTCACGTTTAGTTATTATTGGTAAGATTTCCTCCTCCTCTGAATCTGTTGAGTCTATTCTTCTTGATTGATCTATAAAAGTATCATATTCATCTTCATCCTCTTCATCATCATCATTTTCATCCTCTTCATCATCCTCTTCATCATCATCCTCTTCATCGTCATCATCCTCTTCTTCATCGTCATCCTCGACATCTTCTATATATCCATCTTCATCTACAAAATTATCATCATCGTCACAACCATCTTCAGTAGAACTATAGCTATAATTGGAACAACTATTATTAGCAATGATGTCATCGTCGTTATTGTTGTAGCTTTTGTCTGCATTATCTTTTCCTATTTCTTTTTCTTCAGAACAGCTGCATGTTCCTTTATTACAAGTTTCATCATCATCAAAAGTTCTTTTTGCACATTTTTTTGTCAATAACAATTTTGATGGTGGAGGTGAAAAAAGATTTGTTGGTTTTATAATGCTATTTTTATTTTTGCTATCTATACCATTTTTGGTTGAAGTTGATAATGTTGCTTTTTTTTGTTCATTATTATAATAAACATTATCGTCATTAGTAGTATTATTATCGTCATCGTCATTATTATCATCATCATGTTGAATTGGTTTCTCTCTAAGAACCAAAGGACAATCAACAAATTTCAAACGTTGTTTATTGTTATTATTATCGTTATCTTTTTCTTCTTTATGTTTATTAATGTTACTTACAAGTAATGGTTTTGAATCCAATTGCTTGGTAATGTCGGTTGTTGTAACGTCTTTAGGATTTTTACATTTGTTGTTGTTATTGTTTATCGTCATCATCGATTTGTTATTCCTACTATTACTATTGTAATAATTATGATATTGTTGTCGTTCCGATCGTTTCTTTAACATTTCTGATAATAATGAAACTTGCTGGTTATTATTTTCATCTTGTAATAAATTATTTGTAACATTTATTTTCTTAAATTCTTTTTCTTCTACTACTATTTTTTCGTCATTATCATCATTGGCGATAGTGATGTGTGTTGTTGTGTTTGTGGGTGTTGTTGAGGTTGATGTTAATTGTAAAACTTGTGAAAACAAATTTTTAACCATATTTGTTGGTGTTTTTGATCTAGAAATTAGAAAATTCATAAAAAAAAAATTATTTTTTATATTTATAATAATTTTTCCTTTCATTCCTTTTTTATTCTCCTACCTTCTTATACTCAAAGTTGAAAGAGGGGGATATTTATTGCATTCACTAAATTTTAATGATGCAGTAACAGGGAAATGTTGCATTATTTATGTTGTTTATGTTATTGTTATTATTGACTTGAGTTGGATATTGATATGGTTTTATAATAATTTATTTAATCAATTAATTAATCAATCAAAAAATTTTTTTAATTTTTTTGAATTGCTGTTATTGTTAGTATATATATACTACAAGGAAAATATTACAGGGGTCCAGAATATAGAAATTGTCAACCGCCCTAGCCGCCGCCATAATTTTACTAAATTTGTCATATGAGTCAATAAAAAAAAATCCATGGAGTTTAATATGAAAAAAATAACCAGGTAACACTTGAAATCTGATACCATCACTCTTGATGATGGGATAGATAACTCTTTTTGAGTGCGTGTGCAAACGAAACTTTTGCTCGAAGACCAAACCATCAACATTGAAAGAAGAGGAAATTATTTGTTAAAACTCTGTATCTCAACATCTTTAACAGAGACTATGATGGAAAGAGTAATTCACAAATTCTACCTTTCAATAATATTTGGAATGGTGAGGACGTTACATCTGAACCAAACCTTTGCCATAAATAAGTCCTTAGGTATCGAAGCCCAACTTCCAACCTCGTTGGACTGAATTCGACAAATAATACACAATTGCTTGAGTAAAATTCAATTTCAATATGTCTAACAAATCAATTAATTTCCAATTATTTTACTTCAACTAATATGATTTATCCTGCATGCATATAAAACTATTCAGATAACAATTGATCAATTTGATCAGTGATCCACACGAATGGGTCATATCCTCGTGTAAAGTTAACAATGACGACAATACGATGACTATGGTTTGAGAATATTCTAGCCTTTCCCGTGTTTGCACGGTCCAGATAATTATGATTGATTAGATAAAAATGAGCATGCTGGGAAGATTTCATTATTTATATCAAGTTACACAGAAAAAGTTTAATATAAGAAAAAGTAATTGACCGTTATCTTCAACCCATCAAAATTTTTTTTAGTAAACAGAATATAATACCAGTATGGATTTTGTTGATATAAATTGGGTTTGGCTATTTTCAAGGTCGTCATTATTACATAAGACAAAAAAAAAATTTTTTTTAACTTTTACAGAAGTGTTTAAACACACACCAATTAGATTTCAAAACAATCCATTATGTTTTTCAATCTTTTTTGTGACATAATAACAATGAAGGACCAATTTCATCATAATAATCAGTCTTATGCATCTTTAAATTGTTGCTCTTTAACATTTAAATATAAAAATGATTATCAAATCCTCCTGATTTGGAATTATATCGGCTAAATGTTTTTTTTTTTGGATAAAATTAAATAGCCAAACTGGTTTCTCGTGATTTTTGCATGATTATAAATTCTAAATATGTCTAACTATAGTAATGGAAAAAACATCAGCAATTTCATTTTGAACAATGCTAGTCGATAGTAATAGTGACTAGTATTATTTATATATGATGATTAATAGTAATATTTCGTTCATTTAAAGATAGTGGTTGATTCTTCCAGCACTCAACACAAAAACATCCATCTTTGTGTAACTCAAACAATAATGATAATAATTACAAGAGTTTGTGAGTCTTGAATTTCCCAACACTCACCCATTTAATATTAATTTATCTTGTAATACTTTTTAACAAATTTCCTGTTTATTAATTCATCCATTTATGGTTTTTGCCATGAAAAAGCACACCATTTTTTGTAATTGCTCACCAATGGTTTTAAAGGATGAATTTTCAGAATTACGTTGGGACAAGATATTTTCTTAATGGCCCAGCTTATTGCAATTGACGGTGGATCAATAATCACTACAGAAAAGAAACGAGAGCTCGGATCATAATGTCAAAGAAACATACCTTAATATGTTGTGCTTATTTTGAGAATGCCAGAAATCATTTAATGAATAAGAGAGTCTTCTTGTATCAAGAATTCATGTAATGCTAAAAATGCTGCTACTACTGCAAATAACTTCCTTGGAAATTATGCTGAAGTTCATGGATTACCAAAGCAGTAACCCAATCATTTATATTCCTACCAGCAAGAATTAGAGACTTCTTGCTAGTCATGAAAAAGACAGCATGTTGAAGTTGTTAAAACATGACGCATTTTGCAAATTATGACATCAGCTAGCACCCGAGATTCAAATTATGAGACTGGCTTATGCGATATCCGTTAACATTTTCGAAATGGCTTACAATATAATGTTCATAAAGAAGGAGAGGCTAAAGACTTATTAAAGAAATACAAAGAACATTTATCAAAAGCAAAAATTAGAAGGAAGTTATTTTAACAAAATACCAAATTAGCAGAACAGCAAAGAAGAGTTGTCAATCAAAATTAACACTACAAGAATTCAAACTACTCGATCAATGTAAATAGATTATTTCATTGTCTTTATCTCATTGTAACTTTATATTCATAACATAATAATAAACATATCTTTAACAATAAACATAATATTGAAGTAAAAAAGAAACTCCTTCGTCAGCAAAGAATTAAGGGCTAGTCTTCATAATAATCCTATTTTTTTTTAACGAGGTACTGTTATTAGGGAATAGCACTACAGATCAGAGTGAATCTAACGAGAGAATTTAGCAAGGTATTAGTAGCTAGGGAGTGGCTATACGGATTATAGTAAAAGATAATTTAGAACAAATATATCTTTTATCCTTAATTATTATTTTTGACTTGGGCACAACATATTATAAAAAAAATTTATATTAATATTAATGTATTGTTTGTTAAAAAAAATTTAGACATTCTGTTGATATGGATAAAAGAAAAAAAGATTTTTACCAAAATTGTATTGAGAGGCTACAAATAGTTAATTATCAATGTAAATTAATTGTTAACATCTATTAACCTTTATTATGTATTAAAAAATTTTCATCCAAAAATACTATTTAAAATAATCGTCAAGTTACAAGTATGATATTGATATTCAAGCACCATCTTTCATCTCATAATCGTATCTTTTGTGCGTGATTTACTTGGTGTTGTAAATGTGTTCGTTACGGTATTAGTGGTAGGTATGTGATATCCATCATCATCATCATCATCAAGAAAAGTTTCGACGTTTAAATCATCTTTTTTATCAAATATATTCATTGTTGCGATGATAATAGACCGTACATATAAAACCTCTTTTAGTACAAAAGCAAGTGGTTTGGCGTTGCTCAATCTGCCAGCGACTTCTTGAACATTATTACGGTTAATTCGAGTAATGTATCCTTTAGGATGATCTACAGTTAAAACTTGTAACCTGTTTGCACCGTGGAGTATTCCGATTACTTTTAGTTTTTTATTAGAGATTCTTTTATCTTACATTCTCTAATTAATTTATCTAGCATATCCTTTAACATCTTAGATATTTAAGTGAATCGGACATATATTTTGTACCATTCGTTTCTTCCCATTTCCTGCCGGCTTCAATTGCACCGAATTCTAAACGGTCTTTATATAACCTTATCACACCATCCCTTTTTTGCCAAATTTTTTATGATCATTAATTTTTCTTTGGATGTTCTTTCTTTCGCTAGAAGCGAAACTCATTCCCTCCCCACGAATTAAATCAATATTTAAATCATCGAACGCGGGATTCATAATTCGGCTCCAGACCAGGGCTATGAAAAAAAACGGAAATTCCTCCTGAATGCTAAGAATTTTCCGGAAGAAAAATTTTAAAAAAGGAAAATTTTTTAGGTGCTAAAATTTTTTTCAAATTTAAGAATTTTCTTTATTTTATACTTCTGTTTTTACTTTGAAGAAGATTACTAAGAGCATCACTAAAATCATAACAAAATAAATCAGTACCTTCTAAACTAACCATCATTAATAAGTGCAATATGTCGTTTTCCATTGCATTACATAAATTTGTTTTGTTTGCTAAAACCTCTTTCACAATCTACACTAGAAAATGGAATTGAGTGCACTATTTCTATAAGTTTTAAAATATAAATAAGACTTGGAAGTTTGGAAATTGGAATATTTCCTTTTCTAATCCAGTAAATCATTTTCATTATATTAATTATATGTTTGTTACCATTATTGGTGGTTTTTTTTTGGAAGAATCTTGTATGGTTATTCTTGCCTTTTCTAGAAGCAAAGAGCCATTATGTTGGTTTGAAAGTGCATGAGTTGCTAGAGTGGTAGATTTTGAAACACTCTTTGATCCCAAATAATAACATTATAATATTAGTAATTTAAGAATTGCAAAATGCAAAATTAATTATATTTATTTGTCACCTTTTCCTGCAAATAGATTTTTTTTCCCATGTGCTTTACAAATTGTGCAAATATTCTCTTCATTGCTGCATCATATTTTAACCATTTATATATGTTTAGCAATTCATGCTTAAAACCTCTTCCTGATTTTTAAAATGAACTTTTTTATTTGACATTTTAATATGATTTTCGCTTAATTCACTTTTTTTATTTGATTTTTTTGAAGTATCATCATCATCTGAGTCTTGAATTGTCAAATCATCTGAACCTTCTATATCTGATTCATCAATATTTATTTTATCTATAAATGCTCGTCCAAATTTCAGTAGTCAAATTATCTAATCCTTCTTATTCTATTATTTATTTATAATTTATTTTTTTGAATAAGGGAAAACAAATACACATAAATTCATATTTTAAGTGTATATATTTTTAAATTTAATAACTTAAAATTCAAAAGATACAAATTATGGTACTTTTCTAAAATATTGAAGTAATAACACACATATGTGTACAGTATACATTATTTAGTATAAAATTTTTTTATGTGGAAGGAAATCTGTACAAAAAAATAAAAATAAAAATAAAAATAAAAGGAAAAATATCTGGCAACTCTTTTTTTTTCCAGAAGTTAAAATTTTTTAAAGAAAAATCCAGATTTTTAAAGTACTATTTCCAGCCCTGCTCCAGACATTCATTCCAAACCATCCTTCTAACTTTAAAGAATCAAAAGGATTTTCATTCATTTCCCACAAACACAAAATTCCGTGATAAGCAGTATTGATATACTCAAGGCAGAAATGAATATCCCGATTATATTCTTTGTTGTCAGGTACAAATGATTCAAAAAAAAAGTGATCTTAATTTTTTAATATCATTAGTTGTGTATTTTTTCAATAACTCCTTTTGACAAGGGTCAAGTTTTGGTCCATTTGTAACTTCGAAAGTTTTAATTTCTTTCCATTCATCAGGTGAAAACAATGATATTGTTTCGACATCAGCATCATTGATTATAAAAGAATGAAGATATGATTCTTTGTGTAGTTTTTTAGCGAATTCATAAATAACTGTTTCCACTTTGCACCCAGTTTTCAGGGTCCACATACAATCAGGGTCCATAGCTAAGTAAGCTTCTTTGAATTTTCTCAAATCTAACTCAATGGGCGATGTATTATACTCATCATAAGTGTACTTGTTATCAATGTAACTGTCATTAAAGAAGGTTTCAGGATCTTCACAAGCCACATCAAGAATTGGGTCTTTTTTGGATTCAGTTTGACCATTTGATTTCATCTAAATCATAAGATAGAAAGACAAAAATGACAATAAGTTATTTGTTGCTTGAAGAAATTAATAATATACAGAGCCACTCAGCCCACCCTTTTAGTTGAACAGGTTGCAGATGTTTTTTCTTTGATGCTTGTGTCACCGATTAAATTTGGGAGAGCGTATTTTAATTGGTGATAACAATTATTTTTGTTTTGTGTGGATCAGAATGAATAGGGGATCAACGAATTGATTTTGTTATTAGCGAATAATTTTGGTTAAAGAAGATAAAAGTTTATTTAAATAAAATATTACTATTTTATTTATTTAGTTTTATTTAGTCGAATCTAATTAACTTGTTATCAAGTTACTTTTACATTAGGTCGAAATCAAGTTCTTTATATACATGTTCATTTACATATTCGCTCAGATTGCGCGAATTCGCTCACTTTGTACTTGGGCGAATCCGCACGTTTTGAGCGATTCCACCCGTTCTGGGAGAATCGTCATTAATCTCTACTAAATAAAGTTAAATAAACATGAATGTGCTAAGGATTGATTAATAATAATAAATATGCGAAACGTAACACGAATTCAGATGATAATAAATAATTATACACGTTATTGATTAAAAATGGAAATAATAAAAATAAAAATAATAAAAATAAAAATAAATAATAGATTAAATAAAAATAAAAATAAAAATAAAAATTTAAATTTAAATTGTCCCGAAGTTAAAAGATTTGACCAAAAGATCTGCGTCAAAATCTAATTCCGGTAACACTTGGTTGTTCATGAATATTATTATCGAAACTTTCCTGAGAAATTATTGATTTTATCATTGAAATTCTATAGAAATACAAGATCAGTTAATGAAAAATAATGTTGGAAGCAATGTGAGCTTACATTATTCTCTCCTTTAGATAGACTACATCAGGAAAATGGGTACAAATATTATGCGTATATAATACACAATTGCAGGGATTAAGCATATAATATGCGTACAAATCGCATATTTTTTTATGTATGCAAATTGTACATATATTAAATGCTTAATCCCTGCAATTGCGTATTATATATGCATAATATTTGTACCCATTTTCCTGATGTAGAAGTTGGATCACAATCCTTTGGTATTTTCCTCGCACTTTTGGTTCGACATTGATTGACTTTACCATTGTCCTAAGGGTTAAATTGCAGTCCATTTATAACAAAATCACAAAATAATAGAAGAATGCATACCTGCTGGTACTCCTTCCTGATCCCTTTTCTTTGAGGGCACCACAAACAGAAACATTGGAATTGTTTACATTACCAATCACACCGATCACATTACCATTTCCATTGATTGGCTGGTGTATGTGTACCTGCCTACTCAAGTGTTTCTCCTCACATACTTTTGCTCTTTTATGATCAGTTTGGGAATCCTAGCACAGAGAATTGGAATTAGTATCTTCACATTCAAACATCAAATTTTCATCCCACCAGAACACATTGCAACCTAGAAATCCACCTGTGCTCAAGTGGGTCAGTGCTGGATCAGCAAGAAGCCTTTGGCATCAGATAACTAAGTTAACTGTGTGCCAGCACCAGTTTCGTGGCTCAGCTAAAAACCTTGAATGACCAGCAACCTAGAAAGCCTCCATTCACACCACTTTTCTTTTAAATAAGATACAAAAGATTTATACTTGCCAATCTGTATTTTTCAAGAAGCACCTTTGCACTTTTCTGCCTGTTCCTTTGCTCCAAATTAGTGATTATTTCTAGGCTTTTTATATAACAATCTATTTTTACATCAAAAGACTCTTTGTCACACTTGTTTAAAAAGTCAAGAATGCTCCAGTTTGTGTGATCTTGGTTGAAGTATCCGTGTATGTAATTAGAAAATAAAACAAATCTATCATGATGTAATTGGTTTATTGGTGGTGTCACAATCTAATTAAGTGATGTCACATAATGTTGATCACCAAGATATTTTTTTTATGATCGTACAAAATAATAATTGTTTCATAATCCTACTAGTCTGTGTGAAAAAATGTCATGTCAATTTCATTTTCGAGTATGTTGTAGTGTAATATATCTAGTTTGAATGTATAGAGAGATTTTTGCTGTTAATAAATACCAGTTGTGTGACTAAAAATCACTAAAATCACCATATTGCAACAAGAATAATAAAAATCCATATTTTCATAATCCTACTAGTCTGTGAAAAAAAGTCATGTCGTTTTCATTTTCAAGTATATTGTAGTGTAATGTATCTAGTTTGACTGTATAGAGAGTTTTTTGCAGGTAATAAACATGAAGAGATAAAGCAGAACAAAAAAGCTTATACTCCCGAATTCATTGCTATGGCTACCAATAAGCACCTTTGGTCAAATATCTTTGGCATCTACAGCAGAAAGTACAAGAGAGATAATGAGTTTTCTGATAGGAGAACAATTAGATTCTTGGATGACAGTACTTACTTTACATTGATGGACTAAAGAAGTTGTCCAGATTGCAATAAAGGAGAATCTTCAATTATCCAACTGATATAGCTCATATGGAAATATGGTTGATGAAAGCACAAGAGGGGACAAAAAGATATTTTTGGTTTGTATATAATATTGGGAAGAAAGAAGGAAATTACCAATGCTTACCATATTAGGTATGAAAGATCTTGATCACTGTTCTGCTTCAACTGTTTCATCTAGTGTTCAGAAATTATTAGTAAACATTCTTTAGATCCATCTCTCTACCAATACTGGCTTACTGATAATACTGGATACATGTCTGGATTAAAAGGAAGTGCTGTTGTAGAATTCAATAAAATATTGAGAATTAATGTTGTTAGAATTCCTTGTGGTCTGCATGTTCTACACATATGCTCAACAATATTTGATAATATTACCTTTGGAAAAATCAATTCACCTTCTGGATTATCTTTGCAGCCCCATCCATTTAATGTTCTGAACCTTGCCTATCATCTTCATCATGGATATGATGAATCTAATAAAGATAATCCCCTAAATATGAAGTTGGAAACAATAAATAACTTGTATAAAGCTTTATTAAATTATGATCTAACTAAATATCAGAAACCAATATCCAGCAGATGGATGTATCAATTGACAACAGCAAAACAATATTTAGAAAGAAGATCTATTCATCAACAATTTACTGAATGGTTTATTCATCAATTAGAGGCAGTAAATAAGGTTCCCAATGGATATTTAAAGAAATAATATATTATTTCATGTTTCCACTTGTCATATAAAAAAATTTATATAAATTATAAAAATGAATATCTTGATGATACTTCTACTGACAAAAATGATGATGATGAATATTCAAATCAAGGAAAAGAAAAACATGGGAAATATCCAACCTGCAATAGATATTAATATAATACCAATCATGCATGGTATCAATCATGTAATTTAAAGTTATTGGCTGAAGGATGATGGACCAGTGGCATGAAACATTATGTGAGTTGATTCAAAGCACATTACTTAAAGCAACTGAGTATTGGAATTATTGTTATCTTCAATGGATTCCTTATAATGATTTAACAGATATTGAAAAGATAGGTGAAGGTGGTTTTGCAACTATATACAAAGCTACCTGGTTGAATGGGTTATAAACATGCAGATGGTAGTAAAAGAGTTGGTGAAGATAGGACTGTGGCATTAAAAAAACCAATAATTCACAAGTATTTCTGATGAATTTTTTAAATTATTTTAGTTTCATATTTTTTTAAAATATTATTGATATTAATTATTATTGCAAATAATTTATTTGTTATTTTAGTTCAAAACTTAAAAATCTCAGTTTTACAGATAAAATTCAAAGAACAGTTTCATAATAAAAACCTTCTTGATATAGCAGATATCTTGGCTTAAATGGATTTTTGGAAAATTTCCCCTAATTGCCCAAACTACCTGCTAAATTGAGATTCACTGTGTATGAAGTTCCATGATAAATATGAAATAATTAAAATTTATGGATTCAATTATAAAGAATATATTTTGTAATGCATTAATTACATGGAAGATGGAAGTCTTCAAAATTATTTTATTATTGGAGGTTTAAAAGATATTCATTCATAAAGAAACTATTCATCATGATCTTCATAGTGGTAATATTCCTCAAGGTACTGTTTATTCATATATTACACATTTAGAATTATCATATCCAGCTAGTCAAATATCTGCATCAAACAAAATGATATTGAGTACTACCATATGTTGCACCAGAAGTTAAGGTGGGAGTTCTATTTAATAATTTGGCACATGATCTAGACCTTGCAATGAAAATATGTGAGATTTTCAAACAATAGCATTTTTTTATACAAATAAAATGTGCAAAGGATGTTTGAATTCATGTTTAACAGCCCAATTTCAGTTTGCATAATAAAAATGTTTTGATTGATAATGATGTCATTTTTTATGATACTATGAAAGTCATTAATTAAAAATAAATAAAATACACAATCCTTTTTATCACTATAACAAACTATGCCCAAGGAATGCTGCCACTAAAATTAACTCATAATCCTAGCTAAACCTTTTGCAATTACAGGGTGTTAAGAAAAAAACGGCGGTTGGTAAAAATATTGTTTTTAATGAAAAAGTAGCCAAAATTATATGATGAAAATTATAACAGAGAATCGGAGGATCTTAGATTATAACATATGAAATTTTTG